TATTTTGTATATGGGACCCCACCCCAGCATGGCTTGATGAGCAATGCGTAGGTCCACGCCCAGGATCTGAACCAGCGAACCCCGGGCCAGGGAAACAGAGTGCGTGAACTTAACCACTATGCCACTGGGCCAGCCCTTATATTTAAATATTTTGAAAGAAGAAATTTAAGATTATTTGCTTAAACAGGAAAAAAATAAATAACCTTCAAAAAGATTACAGTTCTTAACTATTTCTCATGTAAAAAAACCCTACGAATGCAGAGAAAAATCATTCATACAACCCGTACTGGCCTCTCCCAGAGTAACTGAGGCAGACAACATGTACGACCCTTCCCTTGAATCTCTGACTTGTGTATCCTAAGTCTCTAAGAGACCTCCAGAAAGCATCAGAGAGGTCCATGGGCACAATGACCACGACCACAGAAAAATGCCTGTGTAAATCCCTGCCACCTCACGCGTGCCAAAGAGTGGTACAGACTTAGGTTAGTCTAAGCTACTTCACGCAGATGGGTGGGACAGCGAGGAGTTATCTGCAGTGAATGAACCTAGGTAGGGTCCCCGTTAGGACGCTAAGAATAGCTCACACTCTAACTACAAGTCAAAGAATCAGACTCAATAAACAGTTGTGCTTCTTTTCATAGCAGGTTAATTACAGAAAATACTTTTTGAAAGTCAGTAATTATTTATTTACATAGCATTTCGTAACGACCTCCAAAAAAGTAATTATAATCTTTGTGTCAAGCCTTACAAATGCTTTGAACATCAAAAATGTCATGAATGACAATATTACTACAATGCTAAAGGCAGGCAATGGTTTGGTTCTTTGTTAGGCTTATTGGTCCTGGCTTACCACACCTTGATCTTTTAACACAATCAGTGAGAAATAACTTTGGCTACCTCTGTACAGTGAATATTCTTTTAGGATCACATAAGACGAAATGAAATAATGTATAAAATCACTCGGGGGGTGGAGGACGCTACCTAAATATGCTACCTAAATATAAGATGAGGCCATACTTATCACAGTCAGTATGATGCGGGAGGGAACCAACCCCTCCAGGGCTTCCTCTGCACTGTAACATCTCTAGACTGGTTTCTGATAAGTCATGCTTAATTTTTATAATTCAGCTGAATACGAACTAAACTCATTACAATAAGGTACACCCTATTAGCCAATTACACGACAATAACTTATTGTTCAGTCATCAACCTACAGCTGCTGCTATTGTCCTTATTATAATATTCAAGGCTAGTTGAAGTTAAGGAAATATTTCCTGAATCTTTGGATTGCACTTATGAACTTCAAGACATCTGGTTTTGTATATTTCTTTGCAGTAAAGTAGGGATCGTGGGTGACATACCTTTATCATCTTAAATAATTTACACCTTGCTTCCATAAAGGATTCGAGGGAGACTACAGGAACTATAAAATATAATATCATTGTCATTATTGTAATTCATTAGGTTCTAGCATTGGTAGCCACACTTGAAAAATTACTCAGAAGAAAGGAACCAAAAAAGGAAGTTGTAAAAACTAGATTCTCTGAAGGTTTTTAAATAGATTAAATCAGGGTCTTTCTTTGGAATGATCTTTTAGGATGAACCGGAATTTCTTTAGAAACAGTTCTTTCTGAAAGATCTTTCTGGTTGCTTTTATTCCTATGATCCCTTTGAAAAGAACATTGTCGTGTCAGGTTACATGTAAATGTAACTTAACATTTTCTATTTTCTGACACTATAATTGAACAGTTATTTTCTCTTAGTGCTTTATTGATTTTTTGTGAATGGCTCTCAATTGCTTTTAGCTCTATAAATATTCATTATAAATCTATAGAATAACAATAATAATAACAGTAAATATTTATTGAGTACTTGTATGTGCTAGGCACTGTGTTAAGTATTTTATGAATGTCATATGAGTACTAACTCATTTAAATATTTCAAGGGTTTTTTTATTTTAAATATGCTCTGGTGATTCATTTTATAAAGCAAATAGTCCCCTTTAAAATTTTAGACTTTAATCTACTTGATTCATTTAATCTAGGGCTTACCTGTAAATTATATATAGATACACAATTTTTACTAAACAATTTTAGCTTCATAATATCAGCTACAATCTGTTTAGCACATATGGTGTGCCAGGCTGGTCCTGAGACCTTTTCATAAGGCATCTCATTTAATCCTCACAGTAACCCAAAGAGATGAATATTATATCCCTATTTTATAAATAACAAAATTAAGTTTCAGAGAAGTAAGAAACTCACCTGATATGTGTACAAGCTGGGATTCAAACCTAGGTCTGAAACCTCCAAACCTATCGTATAAGTGAGGAATTTTATTCTTTCTTACCCAAGATCATATGAGAATATTTTGTGCATCCCTTCACATAGGGAGATGAGAACTGATTTCTCTACAAAAACATGAACCGTTCTGGAAAGCATCTCAAAAAGTGAATACAGGACTGCTTGGGGATGGAGACGGAGGTTAATATTTTAGTTGACCATGTTACAGAGAAATAGCATCCTGGCCCTTAGGGACGGCTTTAGATATTTAGGACAAAAACTATGCAACTTGGCACCTCGGAACCTAGGAGACAGGCTCCTCTCCAAGGAGGTTCCCAGGACCGGTCCCCAGGGAAGTGAAATGGTGCTCACTCCAGAAGACGTGGTCCCCGAGTCCACCAGGCAGCGCTCTGGGGTGCGGGCACAGCCTCACACCCAAGAGCAAGGTCAGGTCAATCAGGGTTCCTCCGGTCCCCTGACAGTCCACATCCAGTTCTTTCTTGCTGTTTCCCTACTGCTGACAAGAGGGATTTTCTGTTCTCTTCACTTTAATGTTTATACAGAACCTCCCACCCTGGCACCATGTTACTCTGCCAGTAACAACTCATAGAATGTTTGGGGCAGGAAGAAAAAACTGGACTCAACTCAGTTTTAAACTAGTTTAAAGCAGAGGCTCATTTCTACCTTTGGCCTCAGATCAATATACGGCTGGATAATTAACCAGTTTCTGCTCCTACTGCCTCCTCTGTGAAACGGGAGGAGTTGTGTGCTATTTATTTTGCAGAAATGTTTTAAGTAATTATCAGTAAATTGACTCAAAATAATCTGGCTGTTCTATATTACACACGTAAATGAGAAACAATAGTGACGACCCATTGATGCAGCATTTTTCAGTGTTGTTTTCAAGGGTTTTCCCACTGAGTTCATATACGAGTACACCTCAGTCCGAAAATGCTGTATTAAGCATCTCTAAAGCTACAATCACTCCCTGAGGATTCTTCCTCTAGGTACTGCCAAAGGACAAACAGCAAAATCTGCTTCAGCCACAGAGGGTTGGACAGATGGAAGCCCTAGAGGACCCTAAACAGAAGCAAGTTTGCACAAATCTGTGCTGGCAAAGCGTCATTTTGGCCCTACGTAAAACAAACGGACTCAGTGTAATATACAGCAGGAATGACCAGAACTAACTCAACACCATCCAGCACTGAGCCTTTGATCCCACATCAGCCTCGCTATCCCCCTGCACCTCACTGATCCTTCCCCGTGTCTTTAATTGACGTTTGCCTAAAAGAGGCAGTCGTTCCAATCAAGGGAAATGATAACTGAAATTCTATACTCTGCACAATCCCCCCAAAATACCACGTGATTCATGAAAATAACAATGGCAGTCATAATGGAAAGTGGTAACATGGTCTTCCACAGAATGTTGCAGTTCCCCCTCCACCCCTCTTCTTTCCCTACTCACCCCTACGGGAGTCCATCTGCTGCAGAAAATGTGAAGGCACTAGGACCAGGGAGACCTTGCCTGCTATTTGCTTGAGAAACAAAGCCTTCCCTCCTCCCAAGTTGAAAGAAAGAAAGGCGTCTGAACTAATCAAAACCTGCAAGCCGGCTGGTGGAGCTTCAGCTTGTCAGTGATGCAACTCAGGAGTGAGTAACGGCTTCGAGCTTTGCAGAAAACGAGAGAGGGAGAGAAACAGAGACAGAAACACAGAGAGAAAGAAAGACAGGCATTAACCTGGCCAGGAGTCAAACAGGTGCATGGGGCCCGAACGCTGAGAAGAGTGTCTGACAAACACGGGATCCAACTGTGTGTGTCTCTGTGGTCTACGTCTTTATTCATAGGGGGGCAGTGCTGGAGTCTGTATGTCGGGGGTGTACTGCGAGATCTTCTTTCTTATTCATAGGACTCGTATGGTTGGCTGAGAGCCTTTAACGTTTTTCTACTTGTCAGTTTGAAGTCTTGGTGGACATTTCCGGCTCTCTATGAATTCTCCATGACAGAGAGAGGCAGCCAGGGTGTTTACCACATGCACGTCCACCGTGAGCCACAGGTTTTTGTGGTGCCTTTGGAATAGTGGCTGTGTGAGCACTGGGGCTGCCACAGTGAGAGCGACAGCGGTGAGCTATAGGATTCACAGAAAGGCTGCCTCCGTCTTGAGTTGGCTACTCAGAGGCCACACATTGCCTTTTAGACCCTTCCAGGCCTCACTGCCCTTCAAATGACTAGTTTCTGCTAAAGATCTTAAGTTTGCAGGTGCTCTCTTGGAACGAGCTAGCTTGGACTCCTGGGATTGAAGAGCCTTTAGAAATGGAGGGCTGTGCCCTCAATCTGTAATTTGGTTTACAGGCAGATATTAGAAAAAGAAAGGAAGACAAGCAGAGGAAGGCCTGGCATAAGACCCTCAGGAGAAGGCCCTAGTTATGAGACAGTGCCCATCAAAGAGGAGACAATTCAGCAGGACTGAAACTGGGTGGCATTAAATATCATCTTAAGAAAATTATGCCATCTCTGGTGGATTTTCAGTCTCTTGACTTAAACTGTTCAAGTCTTTGATAACCCACAATTCAGAAGACCCAGTTTGTCCCTTGTCATATTGCCCACATGCCTCTAATAGAGAATTCCTGTGAATGTAGACATGAGAGCCTTGGCCCATCCTACAACCCCAACCCCACCCCTGCAGGGGAGTGGGTTTCCAGTTAAAATGCAATCTTTACCTGAAATGCGCCTGGGCACGTCGGTGATGGCGGGAAGCCCTGTGCCCCGTGTGGAAGACAGCGGGGTGGTGGAGTGAATGGACGGGGACGTCATCTGGCTCAGGTACGAGGGGTAAGACTGGTCGTAGGACCACGGCGGGGGAGACTGGGCCTGCCTGGGGTCTGGGAAAAAGAAGAAAAGTCTTTAGCATACCAGCCACTGTGGCCTCAAAACACGCAACCCAAAACTTAGACAGGATAAAGCAGAAAAAAAATGAGAACATATAAGGACTATTTCTTTCCTACAACCCCACCCTTTCAAGCCCTGCATAGCACAAAGCTTTCTAGACTTCCAGTCTCGATGAAAGTAACAAAATAGATCATGCCTAAGGACTATTTGTCTCTCTCTCACATAAATATTTCTATTTGAGAAGACTAACAGTCATTTAGAAAACAATCTGCTTCGATTATCTTCACAAAGTTGAATTTTACTTTATTTATTTTCTGTATTTTCTAACATTACTCCAATCAACATGTTTTGCTTATTTTTCTTAAAAAAAGTTAGAAATTTTTTTGAACAATTAACTTGGTTAAAGAACAGGTAGACTCGTCTTTTACTGCTGCATATCCAGCTACTATCTTTCAGACATGCTTTTTGGTTTTTAAAGTGCATGATTCCACGCACAGTTCACTTTCTTTCCAGGCAAGGCAATGGGATGGCACTTTCTAGCATGTGGGTTAGGAGGCTAGGGGTAGAGATGGGGACAGAGAGGGCAGCGTGGAAGAAGAACAGAAAGGGGGGGAGCCCAATATATTATTCTCATGCTAAAGCTACCCCAGAAAATAACCTTTAAGAAAAAGACAAAGCTTAATTTCAAAGTCAACTATCATTAAGAACTGAAAAGCTTCACCACCATCCAGTTTCAATGTTAAACATACGAATTTCTGACAGTAAGAAAATGACCCAAAACAGGAGAACAGGGAAATGTCTTTAATCCTATAGAAATCTGTTTAAAAGATGTCACATGTTTGGAATGTGACCTAGTGTCACCTACAGTCACTATAATAATGAAAATAATGGGCAGCCACCGTGTTAGGGTTAACTGCTGGGCATTAAGGATATCTTTTGATGTATCTCTATGGAGTTTCTCGGAAGAACAACTTTGAGGCCAAGCAGATGTATCAAAAGAGCTTCAGTCTATATGAGAAAAAAAAGTAAACTGGCTGCAAATTTCCAGGGCAAAAAAGTGTGTATTTCAAACTGTTTTGTTCTTATTTGAGGGCTAATCAAACAGAAACATAAGCAAATTTTCTCTTCACGTGGTTTTTTTTGCTAATTTAAAAATTTTTTGTTAATTTTTAAAATTCTAATATACTAGGCTGTTCACAAGATGGCTTTGTATACTAGAATATCCATGGACTTTGGAATGTGGGGAATGAGGTTCAAGTTCTGAGACTTCTGCTTTGTAGCTGTGTGATCGTGGGTTACTCAGCGACTCTGAGACTCAGGTCCCTAAATTCTAAAGGACGTGGGGGAGTAATTACATCTGAATCACAGGGATGTGAAAATTACACAAGAAAACTATGAAGAGAGGGCTAGCATGGGAGGCACTCAATAAGTATTAATTCTCATCTTTTTCAAAAAAAACCTCTTGCTGACACAGAGATAGTTCCATGGTTAAAATACATGTGAACTGTAGTTAATACATTTGAAATAAGTTGAAAATTATTCCCATATCACCTATCAGCCTCTGAAAATGAAAACCTTAATTTTCAAAAACTATTAATATATTGGAACAGTCAATTCAGGTTTATCTCTAAAATAAAAATGAGTATAACAAGACATGGGTGTTTCTGAGATGATTCCTCTCTTAAAGCCTCTCAGTTTTTCTGTACAATCAAAGCCATTTAGTTTCAGCTATTTCTTGTTTATTTGTTCACTTCAGAAACAATTTATTTAAAGACTCTAAATAGGACATACTTTTCTTGAGTCAAAATAATTAAATACATCTGGATATTTATCCGATGTTTACTATATCAAGAGATACACAGAAAAATTTCATTCAATTCAATTTTAAGGAACATTTACCTGTGTTCTCAATTTGAATTAAAGTATAGTACTGTAAATGGTTAACATAAACTTTTCCTTCAGAAATCTAAAGGATACTTGATCATTAAAGTAATGAACTTTTGTGCTTTAAAATGTTCAAGGCTGAGATTGTATAGATTGGCAACATTTCAAATCTGAGTGAGTGGTCCTTGTTATATATCTGATACTGACATACTTCCTTGCTTTAACCATTAACGTAATTCACTGTTCAGAGAAATGGTAAATGATCTTCAGATGGAAATAGATGCATTTCTTACAGCCCCAGAAAGCAATCTCAGACAGGCCAAGCCTTCTCTCAAGCAACATTTTCAACAGACGAAAAGGACAAGAATCACAGCTGAATGAGCCAGGCACACACGACTCAAATTTGGATTTGAGGTCTGATCTAACTTCACCAGATGTAGTTTAACCTGTATGTCCATTCCTCTCCTGTCACCTGTTGTTACCAGTAGCACAGGGCTCCCTACCTAAAAATGGGAAAAAATACAAAGACATGTAAAGAATAACTAAAATTATTAAAGTTTAAACATATCACAAAGGAATTAGGGAACTTAACTGGGACATAAGATACAGGCTTTCAGTTCTCCTTGTGCAAAGAGGCAGCCCAGGACAGCTGGAAACGAGCAGGCTTTCTAATGAAAGGATCTGAGTTGGAGCCCCAGCTCTGTATTTATAAGCTGTGTGACCTCAGCTGCAGTCGCTAACTCTCTGAACCTTAGTTTCCTCATCTGGAAAATGAGGCAGCATACATGGTAAAGTGAATCCAGCCAAGTGGTCATGTGTACTGGCTGGGCGGACAAGCCCAGACTTGAATCAGAGCTCCCCACTGTGCTGAGCAAGTCACTTAAACTTTGTGGGCCTCAGTGGCTCATCTGTAAAATGGGAATAATGATATTAGGGTTGTGAGCATTACATGAACTAGGCCTTATCTGATAAGCTATCTGGAGCTCTTGGCACATATTAACCACATAATAAATAGAAGTGATTATTGCTATATGTAAAATGAGCATAATAATTACTATCATTTTTATTTATAAAATTAGATGAGATAAGTAAAGCATTTTGATAACTGTAAAGTACTATATTGAAACTATTACTGTTCTCTTTAGGAGCCCACATGGTAAGGCCCTGCTGTGTGACATGGGGTGTGTTTCTTAATGTTGCTAAGCTTTAAATTCCTTATCTGTAAAATGGGTATGATAACACTATCTCAGAGAGTTGTAAGAATTAAACAATATACAGTGAGTGGGGAATCAACATTATTATTCAAAAAGATTAAAAATCTGACTCTAAACTATCCAGTGTTTAGAGTGTCCAGTGTTATTCTTGAAGATTTCCAAGAGCAGACTCAGCACAATTCCGTCCATATAAAGCCTGGCACGCAGTAGGTGCTCCATAAACAACCACTGAGTGACCCTCCCAGGGTGGCTTGAGTGAATAATGGAGATTTATAATGAAATACTAATTAGTCATTCCCTAACTTCCCCCTAGGCTATAAAAGAAGTTATCAGTGCGATTTTAGCTTTTACATAAACTTCCTGACTGCCAGAATATATACTAGAACAGCCTATTAAAGGAGAGTTTTGCTTTTAGTGGAGGTCCTTCCTGAAGATATCCAAGATTAGCAAAACTAAGTTCTCACTATCCCTAAACAAGTGAGAAGATCCCTCTTTATTTCTGTCTCTCAGAGGACAGACTGCGGTCCAGCCCATCTCTTTCAAGGTCACCATCCTAAGATTCTATGATAATAATCTACTTAAGGAGAGAGAGTTACTGAAAAAAAATAAAACACAAGAACTGCCGTCTGGGGTTCACTAGATCTAGTGTAAGTAATTTTAAAAGGGGAATGCAAAGTTAAAAAAAAGGAATGGTCTCCAAACACCCCAGGCGTTCTCTACTACCCTGTGAATGAGCCATCTTCACTGTCAGCTCCACTTCTGGCCCGTGCGATCTGGCACAAATCACAAACCTACTGAAGCTTCAAGTTTCCTAATCTGTACAATGGGGATAAGTATGAAGACCTCCCTCCTAAAGTCATTATGAAGATTAAATGAGAAAATGGGGTAAAGAGCTGAGCACATAGAAAGAACCGAGTAAATGCTCACCACTATTAAAACCTCTACCTTTACTGAACCTTCATTCTGTATTTATATTTCCAACCCATAACCTCTTATTCCAGCAGACAACAATTTTTAGAAAGCTTCCTGCAGTTCTGAAGTCACTATTTGGAGAATATATCTGTGTTGGTCCTGTCAATACCCCTTATGATTATTTAACCTTAATCACATTCTTTCTTAGTCTTGGTTTCTCCCAGGCCAAGAAAGCCTAATGCGTTTAGTATATTTTCTAATACTGTACACTTTAACTTTTCACAAACTTTTAGTGGCAAAACATGGCTATAAAGTATTTTGACTTCCTAAATGCCCAATCACCAAGAAAATATAATCCTATCATAAATACACGATTACAGCATATTTGCTTTGCTGTGGACAATTATTAATGCTTACAGTAAAGATAAGTCACCTTAACCTGATCTCATAAAGGATTTCTCAACTCAACTTCCTGAAGAAACCTGAGACTTCTGAGATTCACTCTCAATTTGGATGAGTCAGAGCAGGTGACAGATGTTTTTTAGGCATCGCCAGTCAATCCTAAGGTTACTAATAGGGAAGAGGACAGGGCCTAACTCTGAGACAATCCTACTAATTAATTAGCCATTAACAAACAATAAATTGTCTTAATGTCAGGTCCCTCAGAGCTGGTATAATCCATTCCTTCACTCTACCCCATTCAGAGTTACACTGAATGGTTTGTCTTTTCGAATCTACAGAAACACGGAGGGTAGCATCGTGTTCTACCATGCCAACAAAAATAAGACTACCCTTGATTTTGTGTCTCAGAGGATAGAGGTGCCAATCATAGTCTTGATATTACATCCTGGGTGATCTGTAATCAATTATAAGCACCGACAAGTTTTCAGAGGCTAACTGAATTCTTTTTTTTTTTCCCCCCAAAGCCCCAGTAGATAGTTGTATGTCATAGCTGCACACCCTTCTAGTTGCTGTATGTGGGA